GTTGGCAATCTGGTCTTCGGAGGCGCTCTAAAAAAACAGTTCGCGATACGAGTATCAAAGATGATGCGTTGCGCCCCGCCCTTCTTTGGAACGAAGAACACACCGACAGTTCCGTTAGCGTCAGCAGCTTCAGAGAAGGAAACCATCCCCTTGCTGTAGAGCTTGCCCAGAAACTCAGCGCATGTCCGGGGATCGCCGACAAGCCCCTGATCACAGTACGCCCCTCGGGGGCAGGCCGTGGCCATGAGCTCCTTCGCCTCCCTCGGCGGTCTAAGCATTTGGCTCCGCCAGTCCCGCAAGCGCGCCGCCTCCGTGGGCCCGACGATGGTGGGCAGCTCCACCGGCGCCGAGCTGGAGGAGGGCCATGAGATATGCTCTCGGCGGTACGGGACTGACGTGTTGGAAGCGCCGTCCCCGTAGATGGCGACGCCTTGGAGGAGCTCCTCGAGGGCTCCGCCCTCACTCTCACGCGACTCTGCATACTGCTCGGGCGGGCGGCCCAACCGATGAAGAACGGTGTTCAGGTTATCGATGGCCACCCGCTGGCTCTCGTTGACGGGGTCGCCGACAGTGCTCGGGCAGCCATAAAGCGAATTCAGAAAAGAAATGGCTGAGTTCAGCCGGTGCAGATGGTGAGCGCGCGCACCTTGTCGACGTTGCGAGCGGCGGCCCAGCGCTGACGATGCCGCCCTTGGCCCCTCGCCAACCAGCGGCATGGGGAACAGGTCGCGCTGCCGACCTGCCTCGGGCAGTTTATGAGCGGCTCCGCGATCGCCCGCGCCCTCCGGGCGGCCTGCCCACTGCGCGCGAGCAGGCAGCCCAGGGGGGGGCTCCACGCCGGTGCGGCACGCAGCCGCGGTGGCCTCTGGCACCCCGGGGGAGGCGGCCACGTTCAGACCTCCCCCGGTGGGGCCCGTCATGGCCCCGGGGCGGCGGGCGGCGGCGAGGGCGGGTCGCCGCCCGCGGAGCCGCTCCCGCCGCCCATGCCAAAGTCTGCGTCATCCTCGTGCTGCTGGGCCCGGCGATTGGCACCTCCGGGCGCGGGGCCGCGGCCGCGGCCGCTGGCGCTGGGGCCGTCGCCGGAGCTGCTGGCGGCTGACGCGGGCATGTCCGGGTGGACGTCGGCGGGCCGCGCGATCACCTCCAGGAGCGCGCCCGCTGGCACACCTTGGCGAGTGTTGATGGGCGCCGTCACGATATCGCTGCCGAACGCCGAGTGCGCGAGCGGCCCCATGCTCCTCCCATCTGCCCCGGGCTCGCCGGCCGGCGCCGATGGCGCAATCGGCGCCGCCGCGCCAGGCGCGCCGGGCATGACGGGTCCGCGCGGCGCGGCGCCCGCTGTGGGCGTGACGGTCTGGCCGGGCGCGGTAGCAGGGTGCGTCGCCGCTAGCTGGAGCAGCTCTGGCAGCGCCCGCAAGATCCAGCCTGACCTCACGTACGGGACACTTGCATCAAGGTCTCCGTTAGTAGCCGCATGAGAAGCTGGGCCTCCCGCGCGGGGTGAAGGGGCGCCGGCACCGGGATGCTTGGCGGGTCCGGGACGGCGTCGTCCTCGACCTCGGGCTGCCCGCTGCCTGCGATGAGCTCCCCCACCGTGAGGCGTGCCACGTCGCCACTGCGTGGCCCGTGATGTCCGTTGATCGGCGCAGGCGGGATGCCCTCCGCGCCGCTGCCGTCGCTGCCGCTGCCCGACGCGTGCTCAGAGGCTGAGAGCCCGCCGTCCCCCATCCAGAGCTGTCCGTCGGCGGTGTATACCGCGGCAAGCCCCGGAGGTGTAGCGGGCGCCGCCGCCGGGCTGCTGGGCGGGCTGCCGACGTCGCCAGGCTCCTGGGGCTCAGCAGCTGCCCCCGCCGCTGTCTGGGTGCCGCTGTCACCGGCGGCGCCCCCCGCACCATGGACGGAGTTATCCTCCTCGCTGCTGGTGTCCCCGCTGGTCAGCAAAGACGGGTTCGCGGTGCCGCACTGGTAGCACTCCAACCCAGCGCGGTTCCAGCTGAGGCACCCGCGGCACACCCAGCCGAGGTCGCCAGCCCCGGAGTTGACGTCGCCCTCGTCCTCCACGTCCATGCCGCCTCGGACTCGGCGTGTCGCCAGGACGACCGCGGCCTCCGACACCCCACTCTCCGCGAGGCTGTCGTCGTCGTGCATCACCCGCGAACCGACGCAGAGGACCACGTCTGAGGCCTCGGTCTCAGAGGAGACCGCCACCACGCCGCGCAGCTCCCTGACCTTCGCGGAGAGGCCAAGAGCGAAGTACCGCATCCGCACCGGCGACTCCAAGAAGCTCCGGACGCCGGTGGGCGGCAGGCTCTCGCCCGGCTCCGCCTGCAGCGCCATCCTGGGCGACGCCGGGGCGGAGTAGGCCCCGCCGGAGGGACTGGGACGGGCGGCCGCGGCCACCGTCGCGCGCCCCCCCGGGCAGACCAGCCACTCCAGCTCCGCCTCGTCGAAGGCAGCCAGCTCCGGCGCGGTGCCGGCCCCCTCCCGCCGTAGCTGAAGGCGCAGCGGGCCGCTCGTGCTCCAGCGAGCCCCCCACACGGCCCTGCTGGCGGCGGCAGCCCAGCCGCCCCAGCGGGACCCGCGCGGCGAGCGTGGGCGCCCGCGGTCCGCCTCTGGCGAGCTCCCCCGGTGCGCCATGGGCAGCGGTGGCGCCTCTGCGGGCACGCGCGAGGGCGAGCCTCCGCGCGCAGAGCTGCCGCAGGGCCCTGAGCGCTCCGCCTTGCACTTTGAGCCACAACGCCGATGGCGAGCATCGGCGTGGCAACTCCTGACAGGTCAGTGCGGCCCCCCTCGCGTTTCACCTACGCAAGCTGTTGTTAAAACCACGCATATACAGAAATACGCACATGTATATTTCCGCATACACATAATTACACATACACTCTTCGGGCCCAGCGCTCGGCTCCAGCGCTGCAAGTCTGCTTTCCAGGGATGGGGGGAGGACGGCAGACAGTTGAGAGAGGGAGGGAAGTTGTGGAGAGGGAAGGAGGGAGGAAGCGCGTGCGCAGGAGGAGCCCTCCCCCGTCCCGCCTCCTCCCTACATCTCCGTTCCTCCCCCTTGTCCCCCTCCTCGCCCCGGCTTCCTCATCGGGTACATGGCCCGTCTCGCTTCTTTCTCCTCGGCCTCCCCCATCCCTCTCTCCTTCAACCTCCTCCTTGACCTCCTCCTCCGCTGCCTGCCAACTCTCTACTTCCTTCTCGCTCCCTCCATCCCTCCCCCAGATTCCCCTTCCTTCTGTCTGCTCCCATCTGCATCTGACCCCCTCCTCCACTCTCCATCGCCAGCCCCCCCGTCATCCCTCCTCTCTCCTCCGTTCTCCTCCACTCCCCCACCCCCATCCCCTCGCCACTGGTAGGAACCGAACCCCATACAATGCACCCGTTGCATCACAGGACGCGGGCGCGCTAGAAATCCATGGAATGCCACACTTCGGCCCCTCCTACCCCGTATGGAAACCACTGGAATGCACAGGGGGACATGAACTGTGGTGCTTTGCAGCTCTCGTCGGGCCCAACCTGCCCCAAGGGGGGTCCGACTCCCTCCCTATCCACCACCACTACCATAGGTAGGACGCCTCCTCCCTTCCTCCTCCCTTCCTCCTCCTCCTCCTCCTCCTCCTCCTCCTCCTCCTCCTCCTCCTCCTCCTCCTTCTCCTCATCCCTCCTCTTCCTCCTCCTCCTCCTCCTCCTCCTCCTCCTCCTCGTCGTCCTCGTCCTCGTTCTCGTTCTCGTCCACGTCCTCGTTCTCGTTCTCCTCCTCCTCCTCCTCCTCCTCCTCCTCCTCCTCCTCCTCCTCCTCCTCACTCTCATCCCTATAGCAGTGGTGGTGGTGGAAAATCGGCCCATCAGACACACCCTCATAGCACAACGTCGACGTCGAACCGGGCTGGCCGCGCCAGGATGCACACCGCCATGCACGCACCGGACCGCCGGAACACTGCAACCGGAGCGGATCGACCCAGCCAGGGTCGATGCTTCAAGACGGACTGGTGGGATTCGAATGAGCCCTGCGCGGCGTCCCCCTACCTCCACGCGCTCCCACTCCACTGCGTCTTCCTCCTCCTAAGAAGCAGCAGTGAGGCTGCCTGGTGACCTTCCGGATGGGGAGAAAGAGGATGGAAGCAAAGAGGGGCAGGAGGAGGAGGAGGAGGACAAGGAGGAGGGGGAGGAGGAGAGAGGAGGAGGAGGAAAAGGATGATGATGAGGAGGATGAGGATGCGGAGGAGGAGGAGGAGGAGGAGGAGGAGGAGGAGGAGGACCAGCATCGGGAGAAATAGGGGTATGAACAGGAGAGGTAAGGAGGAGGAGGAGGAGGAGGAGGAGGAGGAGGAGGAGGAGGACCGACCGAGCTGAGGGCGTGTCCGCCCGAAGGCGGGGCGACCCCCACGGCGCCCGCGGAGACCCGCGGGAGAGCACCTCGCGCGACGAAGCACGCGTGGGCGGCCGCGGGGCCCTCGAGCCCTGGGCCCCTGCGGCCACGGGGCGCGACGGCCCAGCCAGCACTCCTCGTGGGCTCGCGGGGGCCTCGTGGGCTCGCGGGGACCAGCGCCCCTCCGTGGGCTCGCGGGGGACCAGCGCTCCTCCGTGGGCTCGCGGGGGCCTCCCCCCCGGAAGCCCCGTACCAGCCTGGACCGACAAGGACTGGGCCGTGCAGCCCGCCCGGCCCCGAAGCGGCCCTCCCGCACCGCGGCGACGAGGCTGGAGGGCAGGAGGGCCGCGATGCGGAGCTGGTGGCCCGCGACATCGCCGGCTGGCCCCACCCGGCAGTACCACGAGGGAGAATGGAGCCCGCGACGCACTCACCCCAAGCGCCAGCCGTCGGACGCTCAACCTCCGAGTTCACCTTGGCGGGTGGATATGAACTCCACGTCGAAGGCGCCGCGTCAGAAGGAGGAGGAGGAGGGTGAGGAGGAGGCGGAGGAGGAGGAGGAGGAGCGATGTCCTTCCCCTCCACCCGACCAGAGCACAGCCTCCTCCAACTCGCCCCCCCCCTCCCCCTCCGACACGTCGAGCGTCACAGGCAGCGGGGGCGGCAGCGTGGGGAACCTCGCCAGCAGCTCGCCCTTCAGCGCCTCGGCGGAAGGACAACCACCCACCTACCTCCTGCTCCTCCTCCTCCTTTTCCTCCTCCTCCTCCTCCTCCTCCCGTACATTGTACGTTTCAGGTGATCCTTCTAGGTAATCCCCCTCCCTCCTCCTC